TGAAATGTCTGCAAGAAAACAACCAAGCTCGGAGAGTACCAACAACTCCACAGCAATAATTTTGGAAAGTCAAAAGCCAAGAAATCTGTAACACAGTCTTGGTATCATGGGGTCCATGGTACTCTCTGAATTTGTTTGTTTTTTTGCAGACATTTCTTTACCAAACTAGCTGACATCATGAGTGCTAGTAGAGAGTGGGGCAAACCAATAGTATATAAAATGAGAGCAAACCTCACATTAAGTGAAAGAATTGTGGACTCTGATTTCCCTCTTATTTTTTTAAGGTCATCAGAAGTATATCCACTTCTTCTGAGAACGTATGGTGGATAATACCGCTATTTTCATCTCAATATTTTTAAGCCTACCTTCTTCAACTTTGGTCGTCTCCAAATGTGTTGAACTACACTTCTCACAATTCCTAGCTAGTATGAAGTTGGGTGCAATAACCAGCCACCTAATGAGAAGAGAGGACTCTGGAAAAGACCCTGATGCTGGGAAAGATGGAAGGCAAACAGAGAACGAGAAGGCAGAGGATTAGATGATTAGATGGTGTCATTGACGCCATTAACATGAATTTGGTAGACTCCAGGAGACAGCAGAAGACAGGGAGGCCTAGCATGCTATGGTCCATGGGGTCACAAAGAGTCAACACAACTTAGTGACTGAACAATGACAACCTATCAATGCACAATGGGAACACCACACAATCCAGTATCCTCTTAATCAGAAGAGATCTCCATGAAACTTCATGGAACTTACTTCTGATTAGCACAGCTTCACAGTGATTGTCTTGTTAAGTAATAAAATATTGGCTCAATTTCTATCCAAGACTCTATTTAATGTACTATCTATATCTGTCCTTTGTTTTCCCAGCAAGTCTCTCTCTTTTTTTGGAGAAAAGACTTCTGTTTTTCTTCCTGATTTTCAGCATGCTTTTAAATTTCTTTCAGATTCCTTATGATTATTTTTAACATATTTATCACTGCAAAATATGGAAGGGCTTAGTTTTTGCTTCGTCTCAAACCGTTCCTTTAGCTGCTCTGTATCGGATCTAAAAAAAATTCACTGGAAAAGTTCCATCTTAATGTTTTTAATTCCAAGAGGAAATATCAGGTAGGGTTTTTTATTCAACTTTTTCAGAGATGAATAAAAAAAAGAAGCTATCACTGAAGAGACAGTTGTAGAATGAGACAGGCAATTTGTATGCAAAAATGAACCGCTTTCAGTGGAGAATTTTGCTGTTACTTTTCATTTTTTCCTTTGCCTTAAAATTGGGTGGGAACGTTAAAAAAAAGGAGGCAGATGAAATTTTTCAGCATGCCACGAGTTTTCTTTATCTATGAAAATATTTCAGTGTTTCCAAAAGCGGGCTTGAGGCCAATACTGAAGTCAGGAAACATGAATTTAATGGGTGCAATGCTTTAAATCTGATAGAAGTAACCTCAATCTCTGCTCAAAGGGGGGGAAAATAAATGCTTGCAACAACAGTTTTTTTTTTTCCTGGGTTAGCACGATCTGTAATTTCATTTGGATGAAAAATGTCTCTGCTGTGCTTGAAAAGAAATAAACAGATTGCTTTCTTCCGATTATTCATAGTACAGACTCTTTTGATCCCTGCAGACTTGGCCTCTAAAAAAAATCATTGAGGCTGTTGGGTGTATCACTGGAAAAATATAAATCTTACAAGACAATTGGCATTGCAAAAATGTATCTACAGTGAAGTTAAGTTGCTCTAGTAAATGGCAGTCTAAAGCAAAAGTTTCCAAGTTCACATCAATTTAATGAAATGCAAACGCCATATAACAAACTTTTTTTTTTTTTTAACTGTACTACTGCAACGTTTTCCTGTTTGGGACTTTGCAAATATAAATGTCCACTCAAAGCACATTCTGACATGAAAGAAAATGAACGTTACAATATTAAATAACCTTAATTAATATAATACTAAACAATTATAGTCACCAAGAAGGATAGTAATCATAAGAAGGTTAATCGGTAAGTATCATTCAACGATATTTATTGACTAAGCTTTATTTTTATGACTATTCTTATTATTAGTGATTATAATTATTCGGTATTATGGTAACTGTTTAGCTAGTAGGATAAACGACATTTATCGACTAACTTTCACTTTTTATGATTACGATTATTTTTTGTGACTATAACTTTTTAGTACTATTTTAATTACTGTTATTTAGCATTTGTACCCGGATGACAGTCTGCTTGCTAAAGCGATGAGTTACTGTTGGGGGTAACCCCACTATTACATCTTTCCCTACCCTTATCCCAACCTCACTCCACAACCCTTACCGATCTTATCCCTTCCCCACCCTTATAAAAATCTAATAAAATATTTTAAAAAAAGAAAAAAAAGAAAATGAACTTGAAACTTAGAGTCTTTTATTACCATAATAGACTAGAACAGTGGTGGCGAACCTATGGCACGGGTGCCAGAGGCGGCACTCAGAGCCCTCTCTGTGGGCATGCGCGCCGTCACCCCAGTCCTAGGCATTCAGCTGGATTTTATAAAACCTTTTCATTTTAGGCCTTCACTGCCGCCATGTGCAAAAAAAAAAAAGGTTCAATCAATCAGTCAATTTCAACTTCTTGCGGGGAAAAAAAAAGATCTTGCAAAGTTGGAATTGATTGATTGAACTTTTTAGTCCCACCCAGTCTGCCGTTACTACCGCAGCCACGCCCACCCAATGGGCCACCCCCACCCAATGGGCCACACCCAGCCAATGGGCCACACCCACCAGGCACTCGACGATGCATAAGTGGGTTTTGAGTTGCAGTTTGGGCACTCAGTCTCTAAAAGGTTTGCCATCACTGGACTAGAGTGTGAATTCTAGTCACATATAGCCATGAAAGATGGATGGGTGACTTTGGGCCAATCCCCAGGAGACTATGAATTCTAGTGCTACCTTAAGCATGAAAGATAGCTGGGTGACTTTGGGCCAGTCACTCTCTCTCAGTTCAACTCACCTCACAGAACTGTTGTGGAGGAAATAGGAGGAGGAAGGAATATTAGATAGGTTTGCCACCTTGAGTTACTTATAAAGTAATAAAGGTAGGATAAAAATCAAATAAATAGACTGACAATGCTATAATTCCCAACACGTTTCTATTTGCTGTTAATTAGCCTTGGGCAACATTAGCAGGCAATACCACTGGCTGAGCAGTTTCTCTGAGTTTTTCTGAAGGAAACTTGGTGGGACGGTGGGCATAGATGGAATTTTAATAATATTTTTTGGGTGCTGTCAGAATGCAAGGTACTCTTCTCTGTCCTTCTCCCCTACAAGAAACTCCATGCCACCCCAATGTCTTTGTCCTTTTTTTTCAGACAAGGCACTGGTGGACAGCTGCTTTTCTTTCTTTCTTTTTTTTAAGAAAATCTGGGTTCTGTTGACATTCTTGGGAAATCAACATGATGTGGGAGGCTAATGCTCTGCAGTGTGTCAACTTCCTATCTGTTGCAATCAAAATATTCTTTTCAAACAAAAACAAAAAAAAAGCCAAATGGAACAGGAAGCCAGGCAAACATCCAAAAGGACATTTGAGGACCCAAGAGGACTCTCTGGCACTGTGTTGAGGGCTATTGGTGAAAGCAAACCCCTTTGATTTGAAGACATACCATTTTAATAACTAGAAGGCACCAAACTGATTTACCAATCTTTCCCCAAATTTATTCAGTAACTTGCATACAATTCAATGCATCAAAATTCATTGTCTCATCCCCTAAGCAGTGCCTTGTTTATGATATTTTAGATTTTGCTTGCCTTGCAAGGCAACCATCGTATCTAGCATACTACTGCCAATAATCACCTACTACAGAAACACCACTACAATATAACAAAGCCAGTTCTTCTCTCAGATGCGTAGAATATTCTGATTTCACCACTTCGGTGTAAAATAGAGTGAAACGGTCTGCTCTATTTGCTGTAGGCTGCCTTATCTTCCAGCAACTTCACTGTAGTGGTCTTAGACATGGGCGTGACAGCCAGTCCTTTCGTGGGCCTACTGGGGGCAGGTTGCTGTCTTTGGCCTGAAAACGTAACAAAGAAGTTGCATCATCATCAGAGAAACACTCATGCCGGTGAACCAATCGTTATGGTTGGTTGCACAGGCAATAGATCTTTAGATTTGATTTGCAATTTTTGTCCACATTCAAGTCCTCTCCAAACACTTAACTACTTATCAGTATCATTACTATCTTGATTTGTAAGACACCAACTTCTATATTGACTTTGGGCAGCTTATATCTAAAAATCTATGTCATCTATCTATCTGTCTGTCTGTCTATCATTATCTATCATCTACTAATTACCATCTACCATCTACCATTCTTTCTATCTATCTATCTATCTATCTATCTATCTATCTATCTATCTATCTATCTATCTATCTATCTATCTATCTATCTATCTATCTATCTATCTATCTATCTATCTATCTATCTATCATCTATCATCAATTTATCTATCTATCATCATTTATCTCAATCCATTATTCATCCATCCCTCCAATCATCTATCTCTATATCTGTCTCTATCTATCTATCATTATCATCATTATCTATCATCTATCTATCATCTATCTACCTATCTATCTATCATTATCATCGATCTGTCTATCTATCATTATTTATCATCTATCATCTACCATCTACCATCTACCATCTATCGTCTGTCTGTCTGTCTGTCTGTCTGTCTGTCTGTCTGTCTGTCTGTCTGTCTGTCTGTCTGTCTATCTATCTATCATCATCTATCTCCATCCATCCATCTATCCATCCATCCATCCATCCATCCATCCATCCATCCAATCATCTATCTCTATGTCCGTCCGTCTGTCTGTCTGTCTATCTATCTATCTATCTATCTATCTATCTATCTATCTATCTATCTATCTATCTATCTATCTATCTATCTATCTATCTATCTATCTATCTATCTATCTATCTATCTATCTATCTATCTATCTATCTACCTACCTACCTACCTACCTACCTACCTACCTACATATCTACCTATCTTTTCTATCATCTATCTCTATTTCTGTCATCTATTTATGACCTTTATAAATGGATACCAGCAGCTCAAATTGTGCTTGGAAGCCAACTGGTATCCAGTAGAGCTTGCAAAGCAGAGCAGTCACACGTATGCAATGCAGCGCCCCCATCATTCCCTGTCTTGCTGCATTCTAAATCAGGGGTGTCTAAAGGATGGCTGGCTGGGGAATTCTGGGAGTTAAAGTTGCCAAGTGGACACACCTGTTCTAGATAGCCTTGAAAGACAACTCAAAGTAAATACTATTTTGATACTATTTTGTTATTGTACTACATTATTTATCAAATGTATATGCCACTCATCTCACACTGCACAGCGACAGTGAGAGGCTTGCAAATTATTCTTGCATTGCATTAATCGTTTTGCTCAGAGCGCAGGGTGCTTAGAGTCAATTTGCCAACAAAGGAGCGTATAAGCAAGCCTAAGTAAATAATTGAAGTTTTTACAATAGACTTACAACTTGTCAAAGTTTTTACAGTTTTGATGTAATCCCAAAAGGAGCATTCAGATTTTTTCAGCCCTTTATGGTTCGGTAAAGAAGCAGTAAACTCTTTATAATTGTCTCCACCAGCGTCTGCACAAAACATGGGCCAAGGTGGGAGTCCTTCTATCCTCTTTCTTGAAAATTCATAAGGGCTATTTGGATTTCTGCAGAAAAGAACAAATATAAGTCTCCAGCCTGCAACACAGACAACTCATAAAAGCTGCCTGAAACTGCCAGGGTAAAAAAATGTACATATTTTTTCTTGTGTACAGTAGTCCTTGTTTTATGACGATAATGGAGCCAGCCCACTAGGGTCATAAATCCTGATGGTCATAAAGCAGATCACCTACGTGACCGACCTGATTTTACGACCTTTTTTCCCCCTGTGGATGTTAAGTGAACGCCATGGTCGTTAAATGAATCAATGGTTCATTATAGGTTGGTTTTGCTAAAAATTAAAAAAAAATGCTAGTTTTCTGCAAAAGTGACATAAAATAGGGTCATGTGACCACAGAATGTTGTAAACAACTGTAATTGCAGTTTGGTTGCCAAGCACCCAAAGGGCAGTCATGGTGACGATGGTGGGAACAGCAGTCAGAACACTGTGAGTACCCCAGGAAGTACATCATATCTTTGAACGGTTGCTAAGTGACCAATCATAGGCCAAGAAGTATCTATACTGTCAGTTGGCCTAGGTTAGGGTTATAATTCTTGTTTAGGGAATGAGGAAAGTCAGCGTTCAAATATGAGACCAGCCATGCCCATAATTACAAGGAAAGAAAAATGGATTAAACCAATTCTAATTCAAGAAGAATTGGACTCTGGGTCCATTGTGGGATAAATTCCTTAGCATTCATGTCTTATTTGAGCAGTGACCTCCAGGTGTTCTGAGGTGGTGATCTTCAAGGAATTCTTATAACAGGGTAGTAACATGTTTTAAAGGTTTAAGAAAAAAGACGTCATTTCGATTTGTGTAGCTATATATTATCCATTGAGGGCTTGTTGGGCCAGTTCCAACTTCACCAGAGTCTCTTCACCCAAGCCATTTTTCCATGGCACAAGGCCATGCCATACTTTGCCAAATCCTAGCAATCCTTTACTTTGTCCTGTTACCACCTCTCATGATGTGGACATGGGTTTGGACTTTGAGAGGCCCAGGCCCAGAAGAACATAGAAAGACAACATCAAAGACACACTTCAGCAGCTCAAATAACAATGGTTGAGGCCATTAGAAGTATATAAAAGTTTGTAAGAGGAGGAGGAGGAGGAGGAGGTGGTGGTGGTGGTGAATGAATTTCCAAGGCCAGCTCATTGGCTTTAGTAGAACATGAGATTCTAATTTACATGAAAGCTGGGACATGACCACTGAAGTAAAGACAAGGATAGAGAAAGCTCGAACAGCATTCTTCAAAATGAAAAAGGTCTTCTGCAGTCACGACATAAGCCTAAGACTGAAAATCAGGCTTGTCAGATGCTATATTTTTTTTATCCTGCTCTATGGAGTAGAGAGTTGGTCTCTGACAGAAGGCCACCTGAAGAGACTAGAAGCATTTGAAATGTGGATTTACTGGCAGCTGTTACATATAAGCTGGGTTGACAAGATCAGAAATGAGGAGGTGATAAGCCACCTGGGAAAGCCAAGGGAAATCATCAAAACAATTAAAAAACGAAAGTTAGAATATTTCGGACATGTGATGCGACATCCAGAAAAATACGGCATACTCCATTTAATCTTCCAGGGAAAGATTGAAGGCAAACGAGGTCCAGGCAGAAGAAGAACATCCTGGCTTCAAAATCTAAGAGACTGGTTCGGACAAAACTCAGCAGCACTTTTTCGTGCGGCTGCTGATAAAAACAGGATCGCCAACATGATTGCCAAAGTCCGATAATGGATGTGGCACAAGAAGAAGAAGAAGAAGAAGAAGAAGAAGAAGAAGAAGAACATGAGACCACATGAATTTTAATATGATAAAATAAATAAATACCTATGCTCTTCTGGCTGGCAGTGGGACTTTACTATCATTTTCCCATCCTTGCAGTAATGCCTACAGTTGGGTCATCGTGATGTTCTTTTTCCAGTGGGAGAACACAAACGGATACAGCTAGTTCTCATGACAATGTTGATGGCCATGACTTTGATGTTTCAAGGCCCAAGACCCCCAAATTACAAGAATATAGAGAGATTCAGAGAGATTCCTGATTGTATCAGCATGATCTAAATCACGCACAGCCAAGTTATATGACGTTAGCTGAACCACAGGAAAAGCCATAGTCAATTGCTCTCATGACGTTTTAGTTCCAGCTAACATGAAAATAGTATTAAGACAGAAGCCAATGTTTACTTCTTTTCAGCAAAAACCACCCCGTAGTGTTCAATGGGTTCATTTAACAACTGCGGTCTTTGCATAACAAATACGGCCTTTGCTTTACAACCACCATGTTCACTTAACAAACACCACAAGAAGGGTCCTGTGGAGATCTGTTTTACAGTCATCATGACTTATGATCATAATCACAATGGGGTCTTAACTTGAGGAATACCTGCACGTGCCAAAGAGCACCTACCCGGATTTTATGAAGTTGGACAGGTACTGCATAATGGCTAAGGAGAGAGTCTTCTCTTCCAGTGTATATCGGTTTTTGTACTGAGCATAAAAGGGCAGGCCGAAGGCAAGCTGAACATCAGGCATATATTCCAGACTTGAGCTGAAAACAGAAAGCAAAAGACTGAGTAAATATGATTGTACAGGTAGTCCACGACTTACAGCTTATGACACTTCAGTTATTATAGGCAGAGATATATTGCATCTTTAGAAGAGTTTATAAGATTCCTTTGAGTGCCCATCCCTTGTAAAATAGAGGCCTTGCATATCTTTAAATATTAGGGTAATTTATGGCAAAATTGAGGTTGTATTAGCTTTTTTGGCTGCTGCCACATACTACTGGCTCATGTTTAAGTGATTGTCCAATAGGACTCGAAGATCCCTCTCACAGGTACTGTTCTTGAGCCAGGTTTCGCCTAAATGTTGGTCGCCAAGATACAAGAAAGATGTTGAGATTCTAGAAAGAATGCAGAGAAGAGCAACAAAGATGATTAGGGGTCTGGAGGTGAAAACATATGATGCAGTTTGCAGAAACTGGGTATGTCTAGTTTAAGAAGGAATGACATGTTTGCAGTGTTCCAATATTTGAGGAGCTGTAACATAGAAGAGGGTGTCAACCTATTCTCCAAAGAACCTGAAGGCAGGACAAGAAGTAAGGATGGAAGATCATTAAAGAAACATCCAACCTAGAACTAAGGAAAAATTTCCTGACAAGGGGAACAATCAATCAGTGAAACGGCTTGCTTCCAGAAGTTGTGGGAACTCCATCACTGGAGGTTTTTAAGAAGAGACTGGACATTTATTGTGTGCAATGGTATAGCATCTCCTGCTTGAGCAAGGGGATGGACTAGAAGACCTCTAAGGTCTTTTCAGTTCTTTTATTCTCATGTTCTATAATTTCTACATCCTATTTCTGAAATCTTATGCTATAATACATGTATAGTATAATGGACAATGCAAAAACACATCTATCGCATACTATGATATATTTGTTAATCTTAAAAAAAACCTACAAGACTAACTAACACAATTATTTCTCCAGAGATGAACCAATGGATATTGGAGGTGATCATGTAATGCTAAATGAGCAGATCATCATGATTTGGTTTAGATGTTTCATTAAGCAATAAACCAGGATTTACAATTCACCATAGTGAACTTTCACGGCTGCTGAAGTTTATTATATTTATCTTTGTGAACATCTGGAGCTCTAACCAAATTCGTGGTATACTTTTTAATCTCTTACAGACCACGAATCTTAAATCTTTATTTTACCCTGAGAGTTGGCATTCAGATGTCAAAAAAAAATAAATAGAATTTTTAGTGAATGCATCATGGTTGTGTAACCCATAAACTTTCCTCTTTTTTCCACAGCACGTCTCCAAACCTCATTGTTTGACACTGAATGATCTCATTAGAAGGCATTCATCTTTTGCCCATTTAGCTGCCCTTGCAAATAGTTTGGTTTTAGCTATTGAAAAAAGAAAGAAAATACATTGGGAAGCAATAGAGTTGGATGTAAATGATCTCACAGCTCAAAAGCAGCAAAACCGAAGTTTTGATTTACAACCATATTTGTGTGTGTGTGTGTGTGTGTGTGTGTTTGTGCACGTGCCTGTCTGTGCATGCATCAAGGAGGGGTGTTTTCTTTTCTGCAGAAACAAAAACAAGAAGCTACTATAATTCATGTCTAATGCAGGAATTACTAGAAATATACTAAAAATAGAAGTGGGGATCTGGCAGATAACCTCGTCTCTTTTGCCTAATTCCCTGAAAATGTTTTCAAGATCATAGATCATAGATCTAGAGAGCAGTTGGAGGACTACCCGAACCGAACCTGACCGAACACAGGTAAGGATACATGTTAGATCCTACCTTGTGGCAATGAGGGTGGCGAGGTCTAATTACTACTCCACCCTCATTGCGTCATCAGATAACCGCCCGGCCACCCTCTTCAGGGTGGCCCGCTCCCTCCTTCAACTGAGGGGGGGGAGGATCCCCTGGTGGGGAGGGCTGAGGATTTTGCACAATATCTGAATGATAAAGTCGCTCGGATCCGGGAGGGGTTGGACTCCGACTGGGTGGCCCCGGGGGAGGTGGAGGGAGCAGGTCTTGAGACGATTATATGGGAGGAGTTTGACTCTGTGGCTCCCGAGGATGTG